GAATGGATCTGATCAATTATTTATTGCCAAGTTTTAACTGATAACAACTGAATGCTGTCTCTTGGCAGAAATAAGTCCATTTTGATAAGAGTTGATGCCTTAAGCCAAAGTCATCTCTCTCTGACTGTGGGGTTTCAGATGCGCTGATGGGCCGGGGAGGGACGTGAGTGGGGCTGAGGAAGGACACTGCCCAACTTGGGCCTCAGATCCCAGCTCTGGCAGGTTTCTAGGTGGGTGACCTCAGCAAATCCCTTGATTTCTCAGAGCCTCTGTTCCCTCAACTGAAAACTGTGGAGAGTGGTGTCCACCATTGGGGGCTGCCACAAAATATGGCACGGAGAGCCAAGCGTGGGTGTGGCACATAAAAGGCTCAACAAATGTTACTTCCTCTCAATCCTTCACCCCCCCAAAAAAACCCCAAGCTTCCAATTAATTCTGTGCTATACCCTGGGGGCAATCTTGCTGAATGGGTGGAGTTTATCACAGGCTCCATGTTTGCCCGTCAGAGCCTCTTTGAGCCTCAGTTTCCTCATCTGCAACAAGGGGATGCTGTTATTACCTCCCCCAAGGGGTTGTTTTCCTAGGGAGCAGATGCACTTCCTCTTCTGCAGCACCCATGAGCATGGAGCCTGGCAAATAACAATCACCAATAAAGACCATGTGGTTGTTGGCCACTGTTCAGAGCTTCCTTTCATTCATTTACTCATTCAACAGGTATTTTCTGAGTACCTACTATATGCCGGGCCCTGGGGACATAGCAGGGAATGTGACAAAGTGCTTGCCTTCAAGGACATTTACATTCTAGAGGGGTAGTAGCAGAGGGTGGTGGAGCTGGTACAGGGAACAGACAATAATCAAATAGTCTAAATGGCAGGTAGCGATAAGCTACAGAGAAAGCTGAAGCACAGGGAGGTTTCTCTCTGTACCTCCCAACAATGCCTACATTTTCATCAATTACAATAATTGTAATGCTCACTACCATTTATTTAAGCACCTGCTATGTGCCAGGTGCTATTAACAGATGACGAAACGGAGGCTCAGAGAGGGTAAGTGACTTGCCCAAGGTCACACAGCTCCTGGCAGGGTTGAAATTGGAACTCAGGCCTGTCTCATTTATTCATCCCTCACACATAGCAGGAGTTGGAGAGAGTGGGAGTGAGACAGACACCACCCCTTTGCCTCAAGAACCTGACACTTGGCTGGGCAGACAGACCCTGGATCAGTCCATGCACTTGCATCCACCTGATGCTGTCTTGTCCTTTGGGACATCGTGGAGCACGACGAGGCTGAAATGGGATTTGGTGATAGTAAAAATAATAATAGCATCAACTTGGCTTTTACAGAACACTTACTATATGCCAGACACGGCACTCAGCACTTTCCCCTTGTTCTGAGTTTCAATCCACTCAGAGGCACACATGCCATCATTGTGCCCATTTCACAGAGGAAGTGACAGCAGCTCACAGAGGTTAACAGGCCCAATGTTAAACAGCCAGCGGATGCCCAGGGCAGTTTCCTCAGTGGTCAGTGGGGTGGGGCATGGTGGAACTGGACAGTCCCAGTCTAATGCTGGCGAGCAAGGCCAACGTCAAGGCCAATGGCAAGGGTCAACAGTGACTTATCAACGTCCGGAAAGGCTGGGCTTTACCAGCCAGTACCTGTGTCCCTGGGAGCTCTGAAGCCAAGAATGACTGTCCTTCATTGTTTCTCAGCCCCTCAGGAGCAGTGAGACTGAGGCAAGGGCCAGTTTTGGAGGGAGGGGTGGCCATGGCACATGATGAGACTCCACTCTGATCTGAGGTCCACCTTGAGCTCAGGGGAGGTAAATGCGTCCCAGGGGGCAGCTGCCCTTCCCCCACCTTGGGATGCTCGTGGGTGGAAACAGGTCTTTAGTTAGCTGTCTGTTCCTCATCATCTGCTTCATAATATGATGCTCAGGAGACTCAGAGAACCCCAGTGGGGGTTAGAGTGGGACCCACAAAATCACAGGAGGAGTGCTGGGCTGGCAGTCCCCCACCCTCCCCGGGGAGGCCTGGCTCCCCACCCCCTCCTCTATTTGCACACTCAACTCTCAGTCTGATAAAGGGGGTACAGTCTCCTTTCAGCTGCTGCGGGCTGCCAGCAGCACCCACCTGCTGCACCTTGGAGTCATTTAATCCCCAGGGACAGTTCTTGGCCTATATGGGTGTCCGGGGGCTGGGACTGCAACTCAGCTCTGCTGCCCACCAGTTGGGTGTTCTGGACAAACCAGACATTTATCTTGGCCTGAGTTTCTTCAACTGTAGATGAAAACCCCCACTCCTTTCCTCTCAGCCCTCTTGTAAGGACCTTTTACCACTGTCATCAATAGAAACTGTCCTAACGCTAGTGGTGGGCGCCACTTTTCCATGCTGAGCTCTGTGCTAAGTGCTTTACCATTGTTAATTGTTTCTAGTCCTCTCAGCCACCCTAACCAATTAGATATTGTTATGATCCCATTTTACAGTGGAGGGACTAGAGCACAGAGAGGTTAGGTGACTCACCCAAGGTCACACAGCTAGAAAGTGGTGAAAGTGCGGGAGACGTCTCCCCCGTCCTCCATCTGATTGTTCTTTTCTCTGATGTCCTTGAGGTCTAATCTTAATGTTGGCTGTCTCCCCTACTGTTTTGTTCTTTGGTGCATTTGATACTCTGCAGTATGGGCTGATGCCCGGTGGTGTCGGGGGGTGGGGGGGCTTTCTCTTTGCTCCTCTAGGGGCCCTGCCTGGGGAATCACTGGCCTGGGGTCAGTCTTCCCACTTGCCTTGGAGCATGCAGGGAGATAAACTTGAGTCAGAAATCTGTGCGAAGACAGAAATGTGGCTACCAGTTCCCTGGAGATCCTGGATTCCCTCCACCCCCTCCCACCTCCTGCTCTGGCTACTTGTTGTCTGGGAGGTGCAGATTTTTCCTTTCTGCCCTTTCTCTGGGGAGTCTGTCCACCAAGTTCTATCCCTTTTCCAATGCCCTGCCTCAGCGGGGCTCAAGGACTAGTCTCCTGTCCCTTCGTGGCCTTATCGAAAGCTCCCTCATTTGCAGAGTCCAGCAACACAAAAATGGCCATATTTCATTCCTCCTCACCCTCCTGTCAGTTGGTCTTCAACACATGGCCTCGGTAGGTTCCCTTGTCCTCCTTGAGCACAGCCAAACATTGGTAGATCTTACGTAGCGTTTCTTGATTTCATATAATACAGGCACTGTTGGGTCTTATTGCCACTAGAAGTGGGGCCTGTAGCTGCCCCCTGTGGCTGCTCTGTGCCAGGCCCTCTGTTTGGCACATGTTACACAGAGATGTTTTCTAGCACCAAGGAAATGATAAATGCAGAGTCGGAAACCCAGCAGGTGCTCAAATAATGCCCTTTGCAAGTCTCAAAGGTTGAGGTGCTATTGAGGGGAGGGCAGAAGCTTCATTCCCGAGTGTCCAGTTCAGGCACATTAGCTGAACCAGGCACTGGGCTAAGCATTTCACATGCCCTCTCTCCTTTACCTTCTCGGCAGCTCCTATCAGGTAGGCATTATCCACATTTCATAAACGAGGAGACTGAGGCTCAGAGAGGAGAAGGGACTCACCCAAGCCACAGTCAGTAAGTGGTGGAGCTGCAATTTGAACTTAGGTGCTCAGGCTCCAGAGCCCCTGTGTTCCCAGGGATGCCATGGGTGGGCTGGCATGGAATGCCAGAACAAAGCCGGCCCTGGCACAGGGACGCTGTGCAGTCTAGCAGGTGGCCAGGCCTGCGTCCTGCAGGGTGGGAAGGCAGCCATGGGGGGACAGGTTGTTTGTGTCTTAGCAGCCTGGTGAGGGAGGTCGCAGGGTGGTTGAGGTGGGTGAGGAAAGGATCTGGCCGAGTGTGAGTTGGAGCAACCTGGAAGTTGTCTCATCCACCTCCTCTCCCACTGCCCAAACCACCTCCACCTCAGTATCCTGAAACTTTTCTCCAGGCCCCATTTTGCCTGGTTAGCTCTGCCTCATCCTCCAGCTCCAGCCTCAGGGGCCTCTTCTTCCAGGATGCCTTCCCTGAAGACCAGCCCGCCCTCACCTGCGAGCAAATGTGCCAAGTGCTCATTCAGGGCTTATACACATGCAGGGCTTCCCGTAGATTGCCCTGTCAGTCTTCACCCTATAAAGCAGACACTGTTCTTGAACCCATTTTGCAGGTGGGGAGACTGAGGCCAGGAGAGGCTGAGAAGCAGGTGGAAGCACCATATTTGCAGCAGGCCTGAGTGACTCTCTGCCCAGGGTGCTATCTCTTACACTCCAGCCTCTCAGGACCCCTCCACTTCCACTGGAGATGCTCGCAGTCTGTGAGGGGGCCACAGAGCAGGGGAAGCGACAGACATCTCAAATAGCCAGTGACACACAGCAGTGTAATAGTGGCCATGAGAACGAGAGCTACTGTGTCAGGCAGGTGCCATGAGCCAAGTACAGGGCTGAGAGCATTATACAAACTCTTCTAGTTCTCCATCATCGCCATGAGAAAGGTACTATCGATATGTTCACATTTTATAGCCAAGGAGACCGAGGCACAGGGAGGGGATGTTGTTGGTTGAAAGTCACAGAGTCAGGGGTTGCTTTTGCTAGGATTTAAGCTTGGGCCTTCTGGCTCCAGAGCCTGTGCACACTGTAGGTGTTCAAGAAATGCTGCTTTGCAATGCTGTGAGCCTTGTACACATGTACAGGTAACATGGACATGTTGAGTGTGCTTGAGATTGGAGAGCAGACATGGGCTAGAGGGGTCCTTCATCCGACCTTTCAGAGCTTGGGCACAAGCCCATGTGCCTTACTTCTCTAATGCTCATCAATGCCCCAAGGGGTTGGGGATTGAATGGCTGTGTGAATAATGGGGGTGCATAGGTACTGTCAGCACCCCAAGAGGGAGCTTTTTGGAAGTTAGGAATGGGCGTTCAGTCTGTCTTTGTGGAGCCTTCTCCTGAGGTGGGCTGGGATCTGACCGCAGTCTTTCCACTCTTCTCACCCCTTGCAGGGAGCCGGGAGGCTGCCTTCACATACGCCATCATTGCCGCCGGTGTGGCCCACGCCATCACAGCTGCCTGCACCCAGGGCAACCTGAGTGACTGTGGCTGTGACAAGGAGAAGCAAGGCCAGTACCATCGGGACGAGGGCTGGAAGTGGGGTGGCTGCTCGGCTGACATCCGCTACGGCATCGGCTTCGCCAAGGTGTTTGTGGATGCCCGGGAGATCAAGCAGAATGCCAGGACTCTCATGAACTTACACAATAACGAGGCGGGCCGAAAGGTAGGTGGCAGGGAGGGCACCAGCGGCTCCGGCGGGGGTGCTGCGAGGCAGCTCGGTCCTAACATCTGCTGCTGCGCGTGTGCTGAGGAGCCGTGCTCTGCCTGACTGTGGCATCGATTTACTGCTTGTCAGGGTTTGTGCTATGGTGTGACACTGGTCAGTTCCTGGAGAGGTTGAATAACTGAAGCTCTGTTCAAACTAATTGGATGTTACTCAGCCAAGAGGGACAATGTGAACTCTTATCCTTGGGTCTGTGAAATCAGCTGTACGTAACTCACCAGGAATAAGAACCGGGGTGAGCTTAGGAGGAGTTATCCAGGTGATTCAGCTTCCGCAGCAGCCAGCCTCTCTTCCGTCATCTTAACCAGGATCTGGAGCTCGAAATAAAGAGTTCCCTTTTCATTGCCTCTTCGGAAACTCCTGAATTCTGTGCTCTCAGCTTAGAGGAGAGTCAGGGATGTTTCTAGTGGAGGTGGTTGGGGTAGAAATGGGGCTGGACACCCCATCCTATGAGGAGCTCATTGTCCCAGAACAGGAGGAGCAAATGGGTCTGCAGGCCCAGAGCACACCCTGCCCACGGGGTGGGGGGCAGCCACAGGGAGGCAGGTCCGGCCATTGGGAGAACCAGCCATAGCCACTGAGAAACCAATCGAGTTATTAAGAAAGGAGTGAGCTCCCCATCCCAGAAAGTATTCAAGCAGAGGCAGCTTAACCAGGCATCTTGGGGCACCGGCCATTGGGAGAACCAGCCATAGCCACTGAGAAACCAATCGAGTTATTAAGAAAGGATTGAGCTCCCCATCCCAGAAAGTATTCAAGCAGAGGCAGCTTAACCAGGCATCTTGGGGCACCCACGTCAGGGCTATCTGGCTTGAGCAGTGTTGTGGGCTGAGGCCTGAGGTCGGGAGTCGGCTCTGGAAGTGCCTGTGAAGGATGAGGTGCTCAGAGGCCACCCTGGAGCCCCCAGGCCTAGGAGGCGCTGGGAGGGGAAGGCTCTGCGTGGGGTCTGAACTCCATAAAGAAGCGTCTGTGAGCCAGGGGAGGGAGGGCTCCTGGTAGCTACCTGGGTGGGGGATAGACTACTGCAGTGACAGGATGTGTGGCATCACCAGGGGCCACAAGCACAGGTGCCCACGGGGGCCAGGCGGCAATAGATGCAGAGAATCCATGCACAGGGCTGTGGTGAGCCCGGAACACAGGCCAGGTGTGCAGAGGAATGGGCGGGGCCGTCAGGCCCTTCTCCTGCTGCTCTTCGCTCCTCCATCCCTGCCTCCCTCCTCTCAGGCCTCTGGCCACATCCTGTGTGTCAGAGCCTCCCAGCAGACCATGGTGAGTCACACTGGGGAGCCACTCACCTGGCCTGCCCCAGGATGATGTCCTGGGTAAACGAGGCCCTGCCTGTCCAGTGCCCCTGCTGAGCTCCTGCCCACGGCTGGCACATCCCTGCAGGGTCCTCAGCTGCTCCTTCCTCCCCATTTCTGTTGTCAGATCACTCTGCAGGTCATTGGTACAGTCACAGGATCCCTCCTGCCCGTGAAGCTCTCACTCCCTGGAGGCAAACAGGAGGAAGGCGAGTGGCTTTCCTCTCCCAGCCTCGGGTTCCTCATCTGTGACTCGCTGGTCGGGCATTGGTGAGAACTGAAGGAGAGTAACACACGGCCTGGCCTGCGGCAAGTCAGGTTCAAGGTAGATGAGGCAGGAGAGTGTTTTACAAGCCACGCCAGGTGTGAGGCTCAGGGTCGCTGTTCAGTCACGTTGTCACTAGCCTGAGGGCGATGTAGACACTGGGGCTCTCAGAGGTCATGAGACCACCCTCTGTGGGCTTCCTGGAGGAGGCAGGCACCAAAGATGAGTGAGGTGAGGTTAGGCAGACAAGAGAGGTGCAGGCGACCAGGTCTGGGGGATGAGGGAGTGGACAAAAGCTCAAAGGTGGGGCCACGGGGCCAGTTCAGGGGCACAGATTGGCTGGTCTGTGGGTCCCTGCAGGGGTAACAGCAGCTGGGTCAAGCAGTAAAAGCCTTGCGTTCTGCCCCAGACCTTCCTGTGGTCGCCTTCTCTGTATCGTTCAAGTTTCAGCCATGGCGCCTCCTCCTCAGAGAAGCTTCCCTTTCAATTCCCTCCTAGACCTTCCTCAGGAGTGCCCGTTCCATGGCTTTCCTCCCTCCCTAGACTGTCAGCTTGACGAAGGCAGAGACCCTGGGAGTCAGTCACAGCTGCACCCAGAGCCAGGCAAACAGCAGGCACTTTGTAATGTGGGGCGGATGGATGAGTACCTTGTGATCACTAGGGAGCCACTGACAGTTCTGGAGCAGGGGAGGGGCAGAAGTCATAGAAACAACTCTTGGGAGACAAAGTGAGGTCTTGGGCTGGGTCAGGAATGGGTGTGGGCAAAGTGCAGGCCGGGCCTGACCTGATGTTTCTGAGCAGGAACAGCTCTGGAGCTCAGGGAAACCCAGCGGAAGGGACACTCCCTGCCTGCCCACATCCACTCTGTTTAGGAGGACCCTTGGGGGTGGCTTCCTGGAAAGGCAGCTCAACCAGACACTATGTATTTCCTAAGCCAAGAGGTGGAATTGGGGACTCCCCGTGTACACCAGGAGAGGCCCGAACAACCACCAGTTGGACCCTTTGTGCTACAGGGGTGAAAATGGAGGCCCAGAGAGGGTCCCACCTAGCCCTCAGGCAATCAGGACAGTGGCCACACATGTCAGCCAGAGCTTGGCAGAAAGGTGGACTCCCAGCTAGACCCAGGTGGCTAGGCCCTCCTCCCTGTCACAGACATGTGTGACCCAAAGGCCCAGATGTGGATCCACTTGGGCAGGAGCAAAGACAGCCACCAGCTGCTGTGGGTTCCATCCCCTCTTGGGACCTCAGTTTCCCCATCTGTCAGTTGGGCCTATGACCCTGGCCTTGTTCTGGATCACCGGGTGCCAGTCATTTCCTCAGGATCTTGCGGTATACCGTTTATTCGAAGGCATTGGGCCACTCCAGAACTGCCCCCTAGAACCCCCCAACAGGCTGCCGTGGGCCCCATGCACTGCGGAGTTGGGGAACCAACAGGAGACAAGGGGCCAGCCACTGCCGCTCCTGGCTGAGCGTCCTGGAAAGGATTGCAGATGTGTTTATCCCCCGCTCCTTCACTCCTGCCACAAGGAGACAAGACTCAACCTGACCACAGGCTCTGGGTGGGGCTTGTTGGCAGCTGGCGTGAGAGGAAGAGGAGGTAGGGGAAGCCAGGAAGGGGTGCCCACGTGCCTTCTGCAGGCCCAATGAGGGGCTGCCTCCAGGGCTGCAGGGGAGCCCCAACTCACCTGCAGATGAGGAGGAATGAATGCTGCAGGGGCATCCTGCTCTCCCAGCTCTCCAGTTTGGGTCTGAGCCCAGGCAGAGCCAGGCCCTCACCAGCGGCCGGATGTGGGCCATGGGGCTGGGCAGGTAGAGGCACCTCTGCCGGCCAGCTTTCCCTCATCGTCCAGTGCCATCATGTGCTCTGCAGGGGCAGATCATAGGACAGTCATGGTAGAAGATAGCAGTGGGGTGTGCGAACATCTTTGGGGGGGGTGGTTTTAGAATTATAGTCCGTCCTATTGGCATTTTAGGGCCATACCACTTTTGAATGGGAATCACCAACTGTTCAGGTTGGGACTGTAGAATATTAGGTTCACGTGCTAGCACATGGGGTTTGGAATCAGAGGATCTCTGGTTGGGAGGGAGAGAGGAGTCAGAAGCATCGTGCTGAAATCCTTGGATGGCAGAATCTTTGCGGCTTTGAATCATTCCTTTCCAGCCTTATGGGCAGTGGGGAGATGAGTTACCCACATTTCTTGCCCTCAAGACTAGAGGCTTAGTCTAGCGAGAGAGATTGGAGGAGCAAAAGCTGTGATCTGGGGCAACACACTGCAGGAGAAACATGACACAGAAGATTCAGAGAGGAGGTCAGAGCAGAGGTCTGAAGACCCCCAAGGGGAAGAAGAAGGGACCTCCTAGCAGGGCTCTGAAGGGTAAGTAGGGGTCCCCCAGGTGGGCTAGGCAACAGGGAGGAAGAGGGCCGTTCAGACAGCAGCAGGCATGAAGTCCTAAAAAAGCACCGTGTGGGGTCTCCCTGTGGCTGAGGGTGAGGGGTGATGGTGACGAGGCTGCAGAGGGGGCTGGAGCCAGACTCAAGGCTTTGAATGCCAGGCCAAGGGGCGGACTTCCTCCTTATGCCAGAGGTGCCCAGGAGAGGCTTTGGTGGGGAGGGCCGTTGCAGGTTTCTGTTCTTCTCTGGGACAGAGTTGGTGCCTAAACTCAGCAGGAGCCTCGGGGTGGGTGGTAGGGAAGACTGTTTAGGAAGCAGAATAGGCAGGACCCACCTCAGGTTGTTTGGGATGATGGAAGGAGGCCACCCTTCACGGGGGCCAGGGAGACTGGTTTTAGGGGAAAATGATTAGGGTTCTTTTGGGTTGGGGGTGGGAGATCCTGTGGGCTGCAGGGGGGACACCCAAGGCCACCAGTGCTTGGATCTGAACTCTGGGGAGAGGTCCTGGCTGGAGCTACGTCCTGGCAGCCACGAGTAGGAGGGGTAGGGGAAGCCCTGGTGTTTGTAGCATTGCCCGGTGGGAGGATTAAAGGGGTATAGCAGGAGAGCCCAGGCCACAGCCTGGAAACACGG